TTTTTTTTAAAAGCTGTTAATCTAAGAGTTCCGTTGGCCTACAGGCTAGAAAGTGGGCTACCCTTTCAAAGGCAGACAGTTCAAATCCACCGGCTGTTCTGCAAAGAGAGACAGACAATCTCCCCTCTACCCCATGTGGTTTAAAACCTCTGAAAACCTGCTGGAGGGTCAGCTATGAGTCAGCTCTGACTTGATGGCAGAGGGGGTTTTGTGTTGATTTGGTTTTTTTTAAAGTCTTATTCCAAAGGGCAGGGCAGAGAACTGTTTCTTTGCACTTGAATCCCCTAAATGGCATAAATATTGGGGTAAAAGTTTCTAGGTTAAGCACTTGGCTGTTAATCCAAAGGCTGAAGTTTCAAATCTACCCTGAGGTTCCGTAAAAGATCTGATAATCTACATCTAAGGAATCAGCCATTGAAAACCTAGTGGAGTACAGTTCTGCTTTGGTATGGAAAGCCTCTGTGAGTTGGAGTTGACTAGATTACAGGAAGGTTTCTTTTAATAACTGATGAGACTTTGGACTAATGAGACCATGGCATCTATCTCAGAATCATAATCTTTTGGGGAAATTAAACAGAACAATTTCAATTTCAATTCAGATACCTTAAATTTTTTTAAAGAAAAATTTCATAATTCTCTGGGAGAGTAATTTTCTTTTGAATCACTATAGAAATGTCTTTCACTGATTAAATTCCCTATGTTGTTTTTGTGTATTGTCAAGCTGGAATCAACTTAGACTTAACCCTCCAACAGATTTTCAGAGGCTGAAAATCACACAGGAGATTGCCCATCTTTCTCCCATGCAGCAGGTGGTGGATTTGAACTTTATTCTTTTGGGTTGGCAGCACAACTCCTTTACCATGAGACCACCAGAGCTCCATTGAATGCCCTTACATGTTGTTATTCCTACAGGAGACTTTAATCGGCAGTTCTTGGGGCAAATGACACAACTGAATCACCTGCTGTCTGAGGTGAAGGATCTTCTAAGACAACAGGTAACAGGACATATCAGACAAGCTCCAATCTTTTCAGAGCAGTCTTTGCACCTGCTGGTTTAGCTGAGTTGCAGGCCTTCAGAAACAGAGAGAAGAACCTGGCTCAGACCTCAGATTGCCTCACACAATCCACTACCTCAGGGTTCTGCTAGAAAGTTCTAGAACGGGAAAACCATCTGGTGCTAAACACACCAAACGCTGCTTCCAACTCTAAGGGGTGTTTCATAGCTAGCTACCCGTGGATTATGTTACTTCAGGGTTATACGTTATGTACTCTTCCTCCTCAATCTTTTTTATTCCTCCCCTTTCTCATTTTTAAAGGTCAAGGAAACATCATTTTTGCGCAACACCATAGCTGAATGCCAAGCTTGCGGTAAGTGCTTTTCTAGTAACTGATTGATTTCAAGTCAGATGAGCTGACACAGACTGATGAAGGTCCTGCGGTGAGGCGGCTTCGCTTCTGGAGGGTCAGAGCTGGAGGCAGTAGAAAGAGGAGTTCATTTGGAACACAAATCTTATTTAGTATCAAGTCTCTCTTTCTGGTTGTGATTAATCCTGTGAACGATTCTTTTTCCTAGGTCCTCTCAGTACACAGTCTCCAACCGTAAACACGTTTGTGCCCCCTGCGCCCCCAGCACCCCCTACATTCCAAACGACCCCAGTGCGCCGGTGTGACTCAAACTCATGTTTCCGAGGCGTCCGATGTACCGACACGAGGGACGGCTTTCAGTGTGGACCGTGTCCCCTGGGCTACACCGGAAACGGAATCACCTGTTCTGATATTGATGAGGTACAAGTTAAATTAGATGCAAAGGGGCTTCCGAAGTAGGATTTTCCCACATCCTACAGTTTATGGAAAAAGAAGCAAAGTTGACAGTTAAGAGATGATTTGAGTCATCCCTTCAGGCAAGTAGGAAAAAAAAATACTTCATTACGCCGAGCCATGAGACACAGTGAGCCATTGCTAGTTTTTATTAGGTGCTGTCAAGTAGATGCTGACTCATAGCAAGCCTGTGTCCAACAGAAGGAAACGCTGCTCAGCCCTGCATCGCCCTCATAATTGTTGCTAGGTTTGAGCCTTTCTTGCAGCCACCACGCCAGTCAGTCTCTCTCACTAAGGCTCTTTTGTGTCCAGCCTCTGCTTTATCGACATCACGGCGCTCCTCAGGGACTGCCCCTTCCAATAACATGCCCAAAATACTTGAGACAGAGCCTCCTCACTTTTTTGGTTGTACTTTTTCCAAAACAGAGTTACTCTTTCTAATGATAGTCCATACGATTTTCCATATTCTTTGCTAATACCATAATTCAAATGCATCAATTCTTTTTTTAGCATTGCTGATTCATTGTCCAGCTTTCACATACATATGAGATAACTGAAAATATCTCGCACTGGGTCAGACACACCTCCGTCCTCAAAGTGACATCTTTGTGCTTTGGGTTAGCTGCACAACGCTCTACAGAGTAGCCGGCCCAAGCTGGCATGCCATCTATGTTCTTTAATACTGGAAAGAAATCTTTGACAGCAGATTTTCTCAATTTAATCCTTCATTTGATTTCTTGACTGCAGTTTCCATGGGCATTGATTGTGAATCCAAGTAAAGTGAAATCCTTAAAAACAAACCAAAAAAAAAAAAAAAAAAAACCCCAACAACAACCCAACCTATCATTTTCCCCCATTTATTATGGTGGGGGGTTCACTTGTGAGGATTTTTGTTTCCTTTGTGTTGAGATATAATCTGTACTGAAGGATTTAATCTTCATCAGTCAGTGTTTGAAGTCCTCTTCACTTACGGTAAACAAGTTTGTGTCCATCTGGCATTGCAGGGTATTAATAGGGCTTTCTCTATTCCTGACACTGTGCTCCACTTCATATAATACATCTTTTAAGTTATTTGCTCAACAAACAGATTGGGTAAGTTTAGGGAAAGAACACACATTTGATGCAACTTTGCAGATTTAAAATTGTGCAATATCCCCTTATTCTCTTTAACCCACTACTTCTTGATCCATTGTAGATGGTCCACATGAGCACAATTCATTGTTCTGGAATTTCCATTTGTCTCAATGCTAACCATAACTTATTATGATCCACACAGTCAAATTCCTTTGTATATAGTCAATAAAACCCAAATAAATATCTTTCTGGTCTTCTCTGCTTTCAAACAAGATTCACCTGAGATCAACAATGATAGTCCTAGTTCACATTCGCTTCAGATTCCATGTTGAATTTCTGGTAATTCTCGGTTGTACCACTGCAACTGTTTTTTCATTGTATTCAAGAAAATCTTATGTGTGTGTGATATTAGTGATATTGTTCAATCATTTCCATATTCTGCTAGATCATCTTTCTTTGGAATGGACATGTATATGGATCTCTTCTAGTCAGGTGGCCAAAAACTGTCTCTAATTTCTTGTGGCAAATAGATAAGTGACAGCATCCAGTATTGCATCAATTCCTTCAATCCCTGCAGCTTGGGTTTGGTTTGTTTGTCATTTTTGCAGTTGTGTTTTTTGGCGATCTTTCTAACCAGTATCTTCAATGCAGCTTGTACATCTTCCTTCGTTGTCATTGTGTTTTCATCATATGATACCTCCTGAAATAATCGACCATTTGCCATTTCTTTTTAGTTCAATGATTACCTGTATTCATTCTTTGCATCTTGTTTTGATGCTTCCTGCAACATTCAATATTTTGCCCATGAAATACTTCAATATTCCCACCCAAGGCTTAAATTTTTTCATCAGATCTTTTAACTTGAGAAATACTGACCTGGTTCTTCCCCTTTAGCTCTTAACTCCAGTTCTTTGCACATTACATTATGACACTTTTCCTTCTCCAGCCATCCTTTGAAATCTTCTGTTTAACTCTTTGATGTCATTTCTTCTAGACACATTAGCTTTTCTGGATTCAAGAGCAAATTTTAGAATTATATATTACATCAATTACAGTATTTGTCTTTCTTTACTATGATCAATGAAAAGGAACCATCATGAGATGTGGGTGGGGAGATTTCTATGTCTCCACCTATTCTACTGTTTATGTTACTAGGGTCCTAAGATTTCTACTTTCACTCTGTCAACTGCATTGATTGCTTCTCTGTGTTATCTGTATACATTCTGTGTCACAAATTGTTCTTTCTATGCTTTCTGAACAGAACAGGGGAATACTGCATGGTTTAAACTCAAGAAAGGTGTATTTCAGAGTTATATCCTTTCTCTGTATCGATTCAATCTGTATGTTAAGCAAATGATTTTAGATGTTGAACTAAATGATAAAGAATGTGGCATTGAGATTGAAGAAAGTCTCATAAACAACCTTGTATGAAGAAAGTAAAGACTTGAAGCACTTATTGAAGAAAACTTGAGGACTATACCCTTCAACATGGATTATATCTCATCAAGAAAACATAAATCTTCATCACTGGACCAATAGGTCACATTATAATAGATGAAAAAAAGATTAATGTTGTCAATGATTTCACTTTACTTGGGCACACAATCAACATCCATGGTAGCAACAGTCAAGAAATAAAAAAATGTGTTGCATCAGGCAAATATAGTGCCAAGGGCCTCTTTAGAGTGCTTAAGAATAAGGATATCAGTTTCAAGACTAAGGTGCATGTAATTTAAGCTATGGTATTTTTCAGTTGCATCTGAAATTTGGGCAATGAATAAGGAAAATTTAAAAATAATTGATGTCTTTGAATTGTGTTGTTGACAAAAAGTTTTGCATATACCATGTGCTGCAAAAAACAAAACAAAACAAATCTATCTTGGAAGAAGTGCAACCAGGGTGCTCCTTAAAGGCAGTGAAGGTGAACTTACATCTATTCTTTGAGCATGTTGTCCAAGGGGCCAATCCTAAGGAAAAGATTCCATGCTGGGAAATTCAGAAGGTCAGCAAAAACCAGGAAGACCCTCAACAGGATGAACTGACACAGTGACCATTACAATGTCTCAGACGCAGTGGAGATCAGAGGATGGTGCAGGATATGTGGGAGGGTTCTGGCCTCTTTTTCTTAGGGTTGCTATGAGTTGTAGTCAACTAGACGGCACCTAACAACAACATGTTTTTCTTTGCAAATGTGAAAAGGGGAAGGCCCTGTTGAAAGGGCATATATGTCAAGGGTAATGACTGATTCCTTCCGTTTTCCTAAAGTAGAGGAGGAGAGGGGAATTCGACACCTGTTGGGGGCTCTAGGAACCTGTGAATCACAAGAAGTATCCAAGCATGAAACCAAAGACACACACACCAAGTACAAGCTGTTCGACCAGCCAGCAGAACCTCAGAAGGAGACTGTTCCAAAACATTCAGTTAAGCCATTTACTTGCCCAGATCCAAAGCAGCCTCCACAGCAGGTAGCGAGGCTGCCTACCGAATGTGCCTTGCCCTCCCACCCAGACCAATGAGGGCTGGAAGGAGAAATGGAAGTAAAAGGAGTGTGCAGGGGGCGTAAGCCCACACTGACACCCACAGACCCCTGTGGCTTCTGGAAAATTTGACAGATTGCTTCTCCAGCTAGTACACAATTAAGATGGTCTCTAGCAATCCCTGAATTGGAGAAACATCTGTACATATTTCATAGCACTACATCTGGTTTTTATCTGTAAGCTGGAATTTTCCTCTTTTCAAAGGTCAGGAAATGGTCATGTTTTTTACATTAGTTGGAGTTGGTGAAGGGGAAGTATCATAACCATCCTCCTAGAGTCCAAGAGCCTTGGAACAGCCATGGGCTTCACAGGGCAAGAGCGCCAGGGTGAATACTGATGGATAAAAATCTTTCTGAAATAATACCTTCCTTGCTTTATTTTCTTGAGAGCTTTTTTATTTGAATAGTTGGTTTGGTAATACCTCTGAATTCTCAGAGAGCTAGCATGTGGTTTAGGTGTACTGTCGATAAAGATTTAGAAATTCAGTTAAAATATCAAGGAGTTAACATGGATGTAACATTGAGTCCTTGTTGGCAGCAAAGAATCCACCAATAACCCAGAGTATATAAGTCAGAGATTCAACACATAACTCACTAATAGGATGTCTTTATTCACATGTCACATCTTTTATACCAAAAAAGAAAGAAAGATTAAATAGATGAGCAGCCATATATAAACAGAATGTGAAAATTAGAGAGTGTATTACTCATACGGTTAAAGACTTTGAGTGTGTGTGTGTGTTTTTCCCCCAGTGCAAATACAATCCCTGCTACCCAGGTGTGCGCTGTGTGAACTTGACTCCTGGCTTCAGATGTGATGCTTGCCCAGTGGGATTCACAGGTTCCATGGTGCAGGGTGTTGGCATCAGTTTTGCCAAGTCAAACAAGCAGGTAGGTGGAAGTTCCAGAGTTTCTGTTCATTTTTTTAATCGTAATTACCTGCAGAACAATTTGGGTTGCTTTCCACCTCTTCCGATAGAACCTATTACTTCCCTGAGGAGTCAGTGGCATATTGAATGTCAGGAAGCACAGCAGACAAATTAGGCAATTTTTCAACTCATTTCCAAGAATATGTTCGTAAATCTGGATGGGAGGAAACCGTCAAATGGGAATAATAGTGTATCACTGCAAAAACAGTGGATGGAGTAATATTGACGAAATGGTATCATTTCAGGCTTATTTTTGTTGGTGACCATCGAACATTTTGTTCAACAGAATAGCTAGAGAATCAGATAAACAAATAAAAGCTTTGCAGAATTAGGTCACTCTTAATAGAGTCATTGTTGCTGATCAATCACTGTTTTAGAGATGAGAGAGTTTCAAGAATAAAAATAACACCCTCAGGAAACCTACCCTTATTCTTATATAAGCTATAAATTGCCATAAAGCATTTGAGTACTTCCTGACAGTTTTCATTTATTTCCAAATGTTCTACTAGAGTCTGACCATTATTTAACTGACTGACTGTGAAATTCCTTCTGATGTTTTCAGCTCTTAGAAATAGTTGATCTATAAATATGTTTTACTACCTTAAGGAAATTAGTAGCTTTGAAGAAGGGCAAGAGTTCATTATTTCCTAGTTGCCTATCAAAGGAGTCTAGAGGACATCTTTTTTTTTTAATTTTTTTTTTTGCTAGAAAAGGGAGGCAAGCTAGACATACAGAAATGAGAAGGAGCCATTAGAGTAATGACCCAAAATCTGTCTTCGCTCCTCCAAAGGCAAAAATCTGTGACCAAGGAAAATAGACAAAATTAAATAGAAGGTGCTTTATGTAAGCTTGTGAGAACACTTTCCATTGGATTTTCAGTAACATGATAAACGGAACCACAGTTCAGAGCCACCTTCTTTAAATTAAGCAATACTTTATAGCATGTGCCAAGGTCAAAAGAAAGAAAATAAACTCTTTAGGTTCCATAAACAGAGAAGAAACTCAAAGCCAAAGCTATAAATGAAAGCTGATCCCACAGCTGCAAGATAGGAGTTGGGACTAAATACAGATCCTGTGATCTGGGAGTGGGGAGTGAGAGTGAAATTCTGTGTAGATTCAGAAGTTGTAATCTTAAACATTTAGGACAACCAAGGACCCCTGAGTAAAATGAAGAGTGTGGAAAAGCTACACTATTGCAAATGCATAGAAAAAAATAAAAAGTAGATTAGAGGTTACTAGATGCTGCAGTGAGAGGACAATGAAGAGTAATTCCTTAATGAATACAGATTTTTCTATTTAAGTCGATGAAGGAGTTTTAGAAACAGATGGTGGTGTTGGTTACATATATTGTGAATGTAATTAATGCTACTGAATAATACACTTAAAAGTATCATATAGTAAATTTTTTAATCTATATTGTGTTGCCACAATATTTTTTTATAAATTCTCAACCCATTGAAACATAATTTCAAAAACTTTGCTAACCCCAAGAAACAAGGAAGCTTGATTTCAGCTTTGAGACATGACTGAAAGGAAAATTACTCACAATAAATTAAAACTTCAAACTTGCATCACATGCTGATGCAAATCTATGTTACCAATATGATATAGAAATGTAAGCCAGAGTTAACACAAAGACCAGCTCCTGAGCAAACTCTCCAGAGTTCTGGTTGAAAGAATTCATACCAACTTTTAAGGATACTTTAGTTTACAGGATCATTGAATGCCCACAGGCAAAAGCATGACCCCTAAAGATAAGTTTATAAACAAAAATCAAAGTTTATATGAAGAATTACCAGCAAGGGACATGATAAATATGTTAAATGGGAAAGGAGATAAAAGAATGCATAGATACCATTATTAAAGCATAAAGCAAGACAAATTAGTTGCAGTTAACAAAGACTTTACAAACTGGAAGATAAATCTAAAGAAATCATGTAGAATACAGCAACAGCAAGAAAGATGGGTGGTGGGGAGTAATGAATGAAGTTAATGGTAATTTACACATCAATAGAAGACTAATTGTAAGAAAGTCCAATATTCTAACTGTAATTTCAAAAAAGAGAATGAAAAATTAGAAGAAGATTGGATAGCTGAGAATTTTTCCCAGTTAAAAAAATATTAAGAATATTCAGATAGTTGAAATATATTGAATCCAAAGGACAAGAAATTTTCTTGACTAAAATTACTGTAGGATAGATTAACTATAGAATTAATCTTTTCCGAATGACTTTTAATTGTTGTAAGTGTTGTTGTTGTTGTTAATGTGCCATTGAGTCACTGGCTGCTCATAGCGACCCTCTGTACAAAAGCCCTGAAATCTGCTCTATCGTGCCAACTTTACTGTCTCTGACACACCTTCCCTCATTAACCCAAGTCACCGAATCAATCCATCTCACTCGTGGTCTCCTTCTCTTTCTCTGTTCTTCCACCCTTCCAAGCATGATGTCCCTCTTCAGGGACTGGTTCCTCCTTGCAACATGCCCAAAGTATGTCAGACAAAGCTTCAGAATCTTTGCCTCCAAGAAGCAGCCTGGTTTCACCCTCTCTAGGATAAACCTGTTTGTTCTCCTAGCAGTCCATGATATATTCAACATTCTTCTCCAGCACCACAGCTCAAAGGCATCAATTATCATCCCTAGTCATTGTCCAGCTCTCTGACACATAGCAAGCAATTGCAAAGACTATTGGGCAACTGTTATTTGAAATCAGATTGACTACAGATTGATCCAAAAGCAGAGGGATGGTTAAAACAACTCTGAGATTAGCATTCTACCTGGAATTACATATATCTTCAAGCAAAACAGTCACAACAAAGAAAGTTTATTTATATTTCCATTTAAAAACAATCAAACTTTTCTGCACTAGGTCTGCACTGACATTGACGAGTGTCGAAATGGAGCGTGTGTTCTCAACTCTATCTGTATTAACACTTTGGTAAGTAGTTCTCACAGTTGTTTTCAAAGAGATGTGAAAATTATAACACCAAACATATATAAGCATACTATGTTTTATTTGGCATGACATATTTACCCAATCAAATGGCATAACGTGTTATATTTACAGAACAAGGATAAAATTTTGTGCTGAAAAAAATATTTCTCATGTGAGTAATTTCTAAATATTTCTATTTATTATATGCTAGTAATTTTAGAAATACTAAATTTGCTTTTTACATAAAAATTGTAACAGGGCTTTTAGGTAAGTAGTTATTGAATTAATGTCATTGTCACCTTGGTGTTTAAGAAAATATTAAAAACTTATCAATTTAAATACATATTTCGGAATAAACATTTTACTGATAATTGTATGATTTAATGGAAGAACGTATAACAGTCTACTTCTATGGGAGATTTGTGAACTTAAAAATCTTATAGAACAGTTCTGCTTTCTCCTCAAGGGTCACTACGAATCAGAACAGACTTGGTGACAATGGGGTGGGTTTGGTCATATGATCTCCAAATGGTCTTATTTATTTTCATTAAATTTTTCAGAAATTATTTCTATTGGATTGAAATGCTTAGCAATTTTTAGTTGCTCTCACTTATGCAAAGTCCATGAGTACAGGATGAAATTGATCTACAGGGTGTTTAAGGATCTTTTTATCATTTGTTCCTTTGGTTGGGAGGGGGCATGGCTGGTGAAAGATAGAGAAACGCCTTGTGAAAGAGTTAGCGAGAAAAGGAAAGAAGAAAGTGGAGAGAAATACCCTGGAAAACCAATCCTTTTGGCCCATTGCCAGCAGACAAAAAGTGCAACCCTCAGGTAGGCCTTTATTGGTTCCCAGTCTTTTGAGACTGGTGAGAGCCTAGCCCCACCTAGGGACCTATGGGGTTGGTTCCCCTGCATTTCTGAGGTGGGGGCTTCTTCTTGATGTAACCCCCTTTTTGGTTCCTACCAGAAGTCACCATATTACCTAGGTGCAACAGTTTTTGCCTTCCCTTCGTGTTTCCTCTGAGAAACTTTGGGGGTTTTTGCCCACTCCTATGAGAGTGGGAGAGAGAGAGAATGACCAAGTAGCAATTCTATGCCTTGACATTCACTGCTGACAGATAAAAAGCAAATCATCAGACCTGTCTTCCAAAGCACCTCTTGGAGTTCAAACCACCAATGTCTTAGCTAATAATTGACTGCTAACCATTTGCTCCACCCAGGGACTCATTGTTAGGTCATATTGAGTTGGCTGTAATTCATAAGAACCCCTCTACAACAGGACAAAACCCTGCCCTATTCTGTACTATCAATCATGATTTCCACTGTCCTTAAGTCTATTGTTACAGTCACTGTGTCACTCCATCTCACTGAAGGTCGACCTCTCCTTTCTGATGCTCCACTTTATGACTATTTTTCTAGGGGATTACCCCTCCTGACATCCTGCCCACAGTACGTGTAACAAAGACTCACCATCTTGCCTCTAAGGCGCACCCTAGCTGCACTCTTCCAAAACAGATTTTCTTGTTCTTTGGGTGGTCCATGGTATAGTCAATACTCTTTGCCAACACCATGATTCCAAGCCTTCAGTTCTTCAGTCTTCCTTTCTCATTGTCCAAATTTCACTTGTATACGAAGCAACTGAAAATACCGTGACATATCACTTCGTAGGTCTGTGATTTAAATAGTTAGAAGTATATTTTAAGTGTGTACATTTCTGTAAGCTGTTTGTAAGATGACAGATACAGCAGAAGTAGCCATCAATTAAAAAACTATTGGTTCCAGGGATGAGCCTGCTGCTAACTTACTATATGTTCCTAAGATTATTATTCAGTCTCTAGGTTCCTAGTTTCCTTGTACATAAAAGATCTTCACAAAAAATCAAGTCACTTAATACTTATAGTAAGCCAATGAATAGGCACTATTGCTTCTCCCATTTTACAGCTGATGAAACAGAGGGACCAAAAAGTCAAGTAACAAGGCTGGAGCCACACATCTCACAAGACTTTCAGTCTGTCTTAGCCACTTGCCTAGACCAGTAACCAAGAAGCAATAAACTAGTGTACGTTTCTAGTTGATGTAAATGGTAAATACACTCGCTTAACTAAAAAGGCAGTAATTTGCGTTCACCCAGAGGCCTTGTGGTCTGTTTGCCATTGTTGTTATGTGCCATCAAGTCACCTGTGACTCATAGCGACCCTCTGTACAACAGTTCTGAACCCTGCTCTATCCTGAGCCAATTATATCATGTCTGACACACCTACCCCATTACGCTAGTCACTAGGTCAATTCATCTTATCGAGGGTTGTCCTCTTTTGTGCTGTCAATCCACTCTTCCAAGCATAATGTACTACTCCAAGGATTGGTCCTTCCTTGCAGCAGGCCCAAAATATGTCAGATGGAACATCAGAATCCTTGCCTCCAAGAAACAGTCTGGTTTCACCCTCTCCAGGACAAACCGATATGTTCTCCTAGCAGTCCATGGTATGTATATTCAATACTCTTCTCTAGCACCACAGCTCAAAGCTCAAATTCTTCCTCTATCATCCCTAGTCATTGTTCAGCTTTCTGATGCATAGCATGCAATTTCAAAGTCCATGGCCTGGATCAGACACACCTTAATCTCCAGATTGTCATTGTTGCTCTTCAGTACTCTGGAGAGGACCCTGACAGCAGACTTTCCCAGTATAATTCATCTTTTGATTTCCTGGCTGCTGATACCAATAGAGTTAATTGTGCTTCTACTAAAAAAAAATCATCTATTTAAAGTCCTATGGAGCACAGACATATTTTGACACTTAGGAGGTCACCAAGAGTCAGACATCAGCTTAATGGCGATTGCCTCTTTTTCTTTCTTAATGCATATGCAAGCAAAATACTGCTGAAGATCATTCAAAAATGGCTGGAACAGTCCATAGATAAGGAACTTCCAGAAGTTCAAACAGGATTTAGATGAGGCTGTGGCACCAGGGATATTGCTGATGTCAGATAGATCCTGGCTGAAAGTAAGGAATGTCAGAAGAATGTCTGTGCTTTAAAGACTATGAAAAGGCTTTTGACTGTGTGGATCATGACAAGTTATGGCTGACATTGAAAATAATGGGAATCCCAGAGCACTTGACTGTACTCATGTGTAACCGATACCTGGATCAAGAGGCTGTTGTGCGAATGGAGCAGAATAGCACTGCATGGTTTAAAATTGAGAGTGTGTTAGGATTGTATTCTCTCTCCACACCTATTTAATCTGTATGCTGAGCAAATTATTTGAAAAGCTGCACTCTATGAAGAAGAAAATGGCATCAAGATCAGAGGAATACTCATTAATAACCTGTGCTACACAGTTGACACAACTTTACTTGCTGAAAGTAAAGAAGACTTGAAGCATTTGTTGCATAAGATCAAAGAATACTGCCTTCAATATGGATTGCATCGAGTATGTCAGGGTTGCGTTCTCTCTCCATATCTATTCAATCTGTATGCTGAGCAAATGATCTGAAAAGCTGGACTCTATGAGGAGAAATGTGACATCAGGATTGGATGGAGACTCATCAACAACCTGTGTTATGCAGATGACACAACCTTGCTCGAAGTAAGAAGGGTTTGAAGCACTTGTTGCAGAAAATCAAGGAATGCAACCTTTCGTATGGATTGCATCTCAATGTCAGGAAAACAAAGATTCTTACTACTAGACCAGTAGGCACTGTCCTGATGGACAGAGAGGAGATTGAAACTGTCAAAACTTCATCTTGCTTGGATCCACAATTAATACCCTTGATACTAGCAGTCAGGAAATAAGAAGACACATTGCACTGCAGTTAGGACTTTTCCAAATTATTGAGGAGTAGTAATGTCAGTTTGAAGAACAAGGTCATCTGATTCAGGACATATTCTTTCCAATTACTAGCTTTTAATCTGAGAGTTGGACAATAAATAAGGATGACAGAAAAAGAATTGATGACTTTGAGCTGTGGTGTTGGAGAAGAGCATTGAACAGCCCATGGATGGCAAAAAGAATGAACAGATATGGCTTGGAGAGGGTGTAGCCGTAGTGCTCTTTGGAGGCAAAAATGATGAGGCTTCATCTCACATACTTTGGGCATGTTGCTAGGAGGGACTATTCTTTGGAGAAGGACATGATACTGGGAAGGGTGGAGGGTGGGCAAAGGAGAGGAAGACCCAGGTGGATTGATATGGTGACTGCTGAAATAGGCTCTTGTTTGTCAAGAAGTATGAGGATGGCGCAGGATAAACAGGGTTCAGGTCTTTTGTTTATAGGGCACTGTGAGTCATGCTAAACTTGACGACACCGAGCAACGACAATTCAAAGGAAAGTAATTATAATGAATATAATGAGGTATGTATTTCCTGACCTCTATGTATAAGGCAGGTCTAGCATAAATTTTATACAGGTAATGCAGTATACATTGGAGGGAACCCCACTCACATGACAGTCTATAGAAAGGCTATGTCTGTGGCAGTCCTAAGAAGTTATTTCTAAATAAGCAGTCAAGAACAAATGCCTTTTTGACAAGCACTGTGGCAATGGGACAATTAGAACAGACTTTCAAGGAAAAAAAGAAAGAGAGAGGAACAAACGGGGGCGGGGGGGGGTAGAGAAAATAGTGTAACAATGAATGAATGGAAATAAAAATCTCTGTAAATGTTCATTAAAATTAATAAAATAAAATTTAAAGAAAAAGAACAAATGCCTTTTATCTGAAAGCTCTGGTATGTTACTTTTTGCTTTCATCCCTTCTCACAAAATTATTTGGCATAATTCAGTCCTATCAACAGTAAGTGGCTTCTTTGTACCAAGTTCTCAGCTAGGCACCTGGCAATATAAAAATGAATAAGTCATATCCTTCTCTCTCATTTGCTCACAGGCAAATAGTATGAAGATCAATATGGCACGTTATCCAAAACTATGAGAAATTTAGTTTTGCTCAAGTATAATTCCTAGAGCAAAAGTGAAAATAAATAGTTCTGTGGAGTCAAGTTTGGAAGAT